ATAGAGAGCGCTCTCGCAAGCCCGAACCGGCGAGTTGAGACTGTGAGCCCATGCTCAACTGCTCTCAAAATTAATATCAAGCTGGAGACACGTCGGCAGGAATTCAAATCAGAGCTGCTTAGTTTAAAATCGGCTTAGGCGTATGAATTGTCTGCTGAACAAAACATGATATGAGGTGGAATGAGATGAGTAAATTTAATAGCTACTAGCTAGGCATTGGTATGTGTTCGACCGGACTTATAATGTATTGCAGAATCATAACATCTTCGGCTTGAACTTTATGTCCGGGGAATTTATTTGGGTGAAATATGAATCGGATTTATAACCAAACTGGCCCATTACAAAAGAAGTGGACTCGGATTGAAGGATGATTCTAACAGAACGAGTGTAAGACCGACGAGGATGAAATATTAGTGAAAACTAGCGCTCTCACTCAGAATAGATTATCAGTAGGTCAAAACTCATCGGACACCGATAGCAATCTCACGAGGACTCACCCACCTACTCCCGCTGACGCCACTTTAATCACAGCTTACAAATGCAAGATACTAGGACAACTTTAATTTGAGATCAGCGTATATTGTGCAATAACACTGTCATTCAACATCGCGCTCAAGTTATATCGGGGCAGATCTCCGCGCGCCCTTTGTCCTGACTACACTTATTCAAAAATGTGTTCAGCGTTTGCATATCCGCCGCAGGACAATATCACAGTCCGATTTTCTCAAGACAAAATATTACATCGCGTATGTCGGAGCCCATGCAAGCGAGACTTGCAACATGCGTCTCATCGTAAAACGTGCGACTGAGCGATTTTCCAAAATGTATTTAACTAGGTGATAGTTTGTTGGCTGATAGCTATCGCCAGCCGCGTTGTTTCACATATTATACGCAACGCGCGTGATGCGCAATGGCAGATTCATCATGGAATCAAAAGGGGGAGGGGTAAGTTTCCAATGCCTCACCTAGATCTGAGGTAAATGCTATAAAGGCGGGTAGTAAGACTTCCGGGCCGAATCAACAGCCGACGACTGTTGAAGATGTTTAGTCATATCGGCTATGGTAAATTATGCTTAATAAGGTAGTTAGCTGAAGTAATTAAGCGCCAGAATTACGTTACTGGCTGTATAAACTGTACAACTGACTGAGCATACGCAACATTTGTAGTTGATTCCGCTTCAACAGAATACAACCCGACTCCGCCTCATGGCACAATATTCAGAATAAGACTACAACCGATAGCACGCTGGTGCCATTTGGACTCTGCCTCCGAGCAGACTGTGTAAATTTGAGTCGACTTCGATTTTGACTCAAGGAGATGATATGCCACGGTAGCTTGCTCTTTAATGACATCGATTCGTGACTACATTTTTGGAGACATGCCATTCCACGTCCTTCATAAAGCCTGTCACAGCGCGTTTTTAAGACCCCAAAAATGAGTCACGCTGTGTTCCATTTACCGCACCTATAAAACTTGTGAGAATAAGCACATGGGACTGTGCTCTCAATTATGTCCAGTCTGGAGTTGTGTCGGTTCATCAGTAATTCCAGCCAATAAGTACCAGCCAAAACCGCTGCAGTGGCCTTGGGCGGTCCGCTTCCTTTAAGGAGGGTCGCAGGTTTTGCGGACATCAAGGATGGCAGATGACAGCGACGAGACCGTCTGCACTGTGCTATAGTTTGGGATGAATGTATTATCAGGAAACCGATCGATGCTGTCTGCCATCGATTGAATTGGATGTGTTAGAGCTCGCGCGAGGATGGAGCGCACCGAATTTTTGTGATGAGCTCGTCGATTAATATACCTAGCACCTCTTTCCGAAGTCCGAACCTTCATGGAGGTACGCGGCAGAGTCCCTAACATGACATTTTAGGTAACTGTCGCAGTGGGGGACCCAAGACTGTTCACTTCTCAACGAGCCCAATGCCATACATGACACAGACCAATCAGCCAAATCGACTGTTCATTTCTCGAGTGAGATCATTCTCTTCCTCGACTGGATCCGATGCGAGGTTCCGACTCCATGCGTCATACCCGAGTGCGATCCCAGCGGTTTGACTGGCGCTTGGAAATCGACTGAGCAGCTTACAAATCAGGCGTTGGTATCGCCACGAATATTGAACAATACATTTTTTCATTCTGGTCGGCTCTCATGGCTATATATGAGGAGAGCTTCCTGTCGCTAGTCGTTACCAAGTCATCGAACTTACTCAAGGTCTGCGAGCACCCGTGAACGACGGGGCGTCGGCCTCTGGCAGCTAATCCGCGTCGCGTGGTCGGCTGTGGTGACGTGACCTGCAGCATCGGTGTTCGAGGGCCATCCGCTTGCGTACGATGACCCGCGCAGCACGCTGAGGCCAACTCAGAAGCTAGGCCGAACCCAATCCGCGGTAATTGCTAGCCATGAAGTGTTAGAATAATGCACCGTCGCCGTGTTACCTCAAAAACAATCTAAAAATTGCGATGAGGTGATGAGGTGTTTTATCCCCAATGGCTTGAGACCTATTTTTGGTCATTAGTGATCGACGCTGATAGGGACATTTGCAGGTGATTGTGAAAACGTTGAACCGGTTGGCAATGTTCAAGGGGAAGGTGTATAGTGTAAGGGTGGTGTTGAACTTTTGCAATTTATGAGCAGGGAGATGGTCAGCGAATGGTGAGAATTCATATCATATTTTTATTCCATATTTTTATTATTTCATATTTCATATTTTATTTCACATTTCATTTCATATTTTTATATTCTCCATCATATTTAGTGTGTGCGACGGCGGAGAAAGGGGGCTTTGAGTAAGCAATTGACGAACCCAGCCTTTAGCTGTTGGATGCTTTGACAAATAAATAAATTAGTTTTAGGTAAGCGATATTTCACGAGAGTATATCTTGATCATTAAATGCAAATTTTAAAAACTTGTATGTAAGGATATAATATTAATTGTTGCAAGCTAAGAGCGCAGGGACATCTTAAAGGTAAAATGTCTAAAGATGCCAAATCCTTTTCGTAATCGTTCGTTTCATGCATCATTCCAGGGTGTCGTGGCGTGCTTAAGTTTTATGTCAGGTGCGAACAATTGAAAAGTTGTATCCAGAGTGATATCGATTTGAATGATATTATTGTGTTTAAAAATTGATTGGTGAGGCTCTGAGTTAAAAACTTAGCGATTTCTAAAATGCCTTATAGAACATTAATAGGTCATATACCACTTTCATCTGTTGAAGAAGTATTCCACTGGCTCACAAATGAAATTAAGGGTCATTCTTTAAATGTCAAAATACGTCGGCCAAGGTATTACAAATTACCACTGTTGTTGTTCAGCGTACAAGACAGTTGCATGCTATGATTCTCGTCCTGAAAACCAAGGAGGGGCAAAACCTTGGGCTACTAGTCAAACACGCATTGTTGAGGTCTTCTTAAATAGCTTTTCTTATATCAGATAAAAGCAACAAGTTCGGTTTTTCTCGAATCAAAATTGTGCGCCCTTTTCATAAAACATAAACAGAACCTGCAGCGCTGTAAAACTCTGTGTTAGAGAGCCCACAGGCTAAACGTTAGGTTTTGGTAGCTGTAGCCTTAGAAAGCGGGGGTGAGTAAAAAAATAAAGTACAAGTACATAACTCAGTAGCTTCACAGCCCATGCGTTTTCACAAATAGGAATTGCAAACTATTTCTGTGCAAACAAAACAAGCATCCTGAGACGCACATTTGTTCTGCAACACATGTTCTTGCCACAGAGAGACATGACCTTTTCAACAAAAAGATCTGTACACAACACAATAAAAAAGATGCGAAGGAAATTGGCAGATATCAGAAGAAGAACACCAAACAAAAAATAGTTTTATCTATTCGTAGCTCACAGTTTATTTTCATTCACGGGAAGGATCACTGATTTTACGTACCGAATCCCGTTTACATTTTGGGTCGCAAATTTGTGGAAGAAAGGCCAGGATGATTTTTTTAGATCCATTTGCAAAATAATCCGTTAATCCAGTTCCAGATCGTGGGTTCGGGGATGCTTTGCTGCACAGGCCCCTTCCCGGTTGGAAGCATAACCACTGTTACAGTGCTGGTTAAGCCTATTGTTTTACAAACATTTTCACATACAAGCATGTGTAATTTGCGCCATAAGCCCTTATACATCTCACTTTTTCGCGTTTATCCATCCTTTGGGGACCACACAACGCACCTTGATAAGTACAGTCAGCTTACGGAACGACAAATGACACGTGACATTGATGTGTATTTCCCTGATTGGTACATATGCGCATCATTATTGTCTTCCTGTCTCTCAACACGCACGTGGGACCAGCCGTGAGCCCATGTTCAGTATACAGCGGTGCGCCTTCGGCTTCGAATTGCTTGGTCGGCATGGCTGGAATGTTCAAATGAGTGTACGTGTCCCGCTGCCAAGTCGACGTCTCATCCGAGCCGTCCCCAGCGCGCCAACTCTGGTATTCTTGAGGGAAAGCCGACATACGATGATGCATGTAATGGGTGCCTGGGAATGCGGACCTTCAAAATTATCATCTTGGTCCAATATAAAGTATGTAAAAAGGTGCCGCAGGAAACAATTTATTAGTTTGTAACATATTGCACGATAAAATGGGTTGAACAGATCGCGTAATAAAAGCAAACAAAAACAACAACGCAAAGGCGGCTCGGCATAGGTTGCATATGATTGTGTCGTGTTGCACGCAGAAAGTTAAAGCAAACGTCCTCTGCTCCTGCTTGACAGTGGAGCCAGCTTAAAATCGAACACCCGCACCGAGCACCAAAATGTTAGTCTTATTAGAAAAATGTCAAAAGCACAGAACGGTGATGCAGTCAGGGCGGCGCAGAAAGCAAACGGGAACACACCGGTGGGGACGACGGGGTCGCACACGGGAACAGCGGCACCACGACGGGCACTGTCAACAGTAGCGGCATCTCACGTCAGCGGGCGCGCGCTGCCGGCAGCCCGCGCCCACCGCCGGCGGCGCTTCAATCCCCCCCCCCCCCCCCCCGACACGTCAGGGCAGGACACGGCCACGCCTGGCGCTGCAGGGACGCACCGGCTTCCGAGGCGTCTGCCTCCTGTCGACACTGGGATCAGGAGAACGGAACGGAAGCCGTAGGAAGTGTCCGGCGGCATCAAACAAAGCTCTGTGCGCATTGAGTTTCATGGTGGCCGCCGAAAATATCGTGGTTTGGGCATTGACTGGTGTTAAGCGAAACGAAGTTCAACGATTGACAAGTGAAATGAAGTGCTATTCCGTAAGTCGTGTGGCTGCGTGTTTTAAACGCATGCCTGGCACCACCATCAGGTAAAGGATACATGTGCTTTAAACAGACAGTCAATCATCGAAAGCTGCAGCGGCCCTGACAGACCATGTGGACCGGATCGCCTGGCGTGCGTGTCCTCGCCCTTACGTGTTTGTCCACCCATAAATAACGGTGGTGCCGAGAAAGTTGTCGGACAGCCGTTGTTGGCACAATGCTCTTTGTCCTGGACACCCATAAACGCCGCATTCAAAAGGCAAAAAGCGGTACGGGCAAGAGGACTGGGCACAGGTGGAGCTGGGACCTCGTTTGCTCGCCTTTGCCCCAATTCCACTGCGTTCTCGGGAGACCCAGCCTTCGCAGGCAGGCCAGGGTGCTACGAATCCATGCCAGGAGGACGCCAGAGCCAGACATGGTCGCTTGCTTGTTGAGGGTCTTGTCAAGACGAGAGGTCTGCAAGCGCTGCCAGGCCCAGCGGCTACGGTTTGTCGAGTTTCGCAAGGCACTGCTCTTGTTTGAGCACAAGCGTTGTGTTCGAATAACGCTGACGCAAGTACTAGCGCCAACGCAAGGCTGGAGAGAATCAGCGCCTTGCCCCGGCCAACTTCAAGCGTCTAATAAAGAAAGATTGTTCAAAAGTTGCAGTGGCGGAGTCCTCAGGCCCATTCGACGTTCATATTAGAAAACTCGCGCGACGCGGAGATATCGGGTATGGCTCGTACGTTTCAGCCGGGACGCCTCCCAAACTTGGGCGCCGTTAGGGGGTCAGTTTCCCCGGCAACCGGCAAGCGTGCCGTCCTCCGCGGCGCCGCGCGAGCCCCGCCGCCGCGCGCCGATCACAGGACTGTCGCGGGGCAGATGCCTCTGGCTGACTCCGGCTGTCACCCCGACGTCTCCGGCTCCTTTGTTCGCAGTCCATGAGACGGGGCACGGTGAACTCAGCTCTGCTGCGCCACAGGGCTGCCGTTCACAAGGTCAGGGGCCGCAGACAGCATCGCTGACCCCTCCGTCACTGATGACCCCTGCGGACACACGAGAGGCACAAGGTCAGGGGCTTCAGTCAGCACTGCTGGTTCGTCGGTCACTGATGACCCCTGCTGGCACACGAGAGGTCAGGGGCCACTGTCACCGCTGCTAACCCCCTCTGTCACCGATGACCCCTGCGGGCACACGAGAGGTCAGGGGCCACTGTCACCGTTGCTAACCCCTCTGTCACCGATGACCCCTGCTGGCACACGAGAGGTCAGGGGCCACTGTCACCACTGCTAACCCCTCTGTCACCGATGATCCCTGCGGACACACGAGAGGTCAGGGGCCACTGTCACCGCTGCTAACCCCTCTGTCACCGATGACCCCTGCTGGCACACGAGAGGTCAGGGGCCACTGTCGTCGCTGCTAACCCCTCCGTCACCGATGACCCCTGCGGACACACGAGAAGCTCACGCAGAACTCTCACCCAGCGCCGATGATAGTTCGTTCACTATGGACTGTCGCGATACACATAGGCTCATCAGATCGCAACTCATGTTCATCTTCCAGGGCGTTAAGCTCGCTGACTCCCTTGGGGAGCGCACAACTACACAGAGGTACTGCTCTGGTCTACAGCAACATTGCACGATTCCGAACCATCCAGGGCAGCACCGTAATCGCTTTGCCAACAGTTCACTACTCTGCACCAGCCATCTGGTCTTCAGGCGGGAAGCACGGGAACGGCGATAAGGTGGTGACAGATATAAGTTCAGGAGAGGGTGTTTGGCATTTCGATATTGACTGTGACATAAATCACAAGGGCCTAACATTTTGACATGACTCCTCTTTAGAAAGCCAGTCAGGTTCTCAGTCCGAGGACTCAAACTCATAGCCATCAGCTATTGATATGAGGGCCCAGCACATAACCTGCCGGTCGCAGCGTCATATTTTTCCCAAGCGCAGCTTCTGTTCCATCTCATCTCTTTCCCGACACGTGTGCTATTGCTGCCATTTCCGGTGCTGCTGCGAAATCTGTCCCGTGACGGCGACAGCGCGTCAGCTACACACAAAGCGGCTGCGGGCCATAGCCGTCGTAGGCAGCGTGAAATGGCTGATGACTATCGGGTGTTGACGTCGACCGCGCCTGGGGCACTGCGTCCTGTCGCCTGCAGCGTTCCTGCTTGCGTGCTTCCTGCCCCGTTAGTACCGTCGGCCGGCATTGTTCTGCTGTCTGGTGCATGAGGTGCCCGTTTGTGTTCGCTACCGTCGTGGTGGCGGCAAACAACACGCGCTGCTGTCTGCGCTGTCAGTTCCTTAAGCGGCCAGACGGGCTGCCTGCTGTCTGCGCTGTCAGTTCCTTAAGCCGCCAGACGGGCTGCCTGCTGTCTGCGCTGTCAGTTCCTTGAGCCGCCAGACGGGCTGCCCGCTGTCTGCGCTGTCAGTTCCTTGAGCCGCCAGACGGGCTGCCCGCTGTCTGCGCTGTCAGTTCCTTGAGCCGCCAGACGGGCTGCCCGCTGTCTGCGCTGTCAGTTCCTTAAGCCGCCAGACGGGCTGCCCGCTGTCTGCGCTGTCAGTTCCTTGAGCCGCCAGACGGGCTGCCTGCTGTCTGCGCTGTCAGTTCCTTGAGCCGCCAGACGGGCTGCCCGCTGTCTGCGCTGTCAGTTCCTTGAGCCGCCAGACGGGCTGCCTGCTGTCTGCGCTGTCAGTTCCTTGAGCCGCCAGACGGGCTGTCCGCTGTCTGCGCTGTCAGTTCCTTGAGCCGCCAGACGGGCTGTCCGCTGTCTGCGCTGTCAGTTCCTTGAGCCGCCAGACGGGCTGCCTGCTGTCTGCGGCGGCTGACTGTCACGCTCGTCACGTCCGCTCTGCTATCGGGGGGCCGTTGGGCTTTAAGTCCGCCCACCTGGGGTGACCGGGGTTCGTGTTTATTGACTCCCCCGTGGCGCAGCTGTTGATAAACGTCACGTGCGGAGGTCTGTGGCCACTGAGATTCACATCCGCTGTGTCTGCTGCCCCGGCACCACCGGGCACGCGACAGCACAGCCTCGACGTCTGCAGTGATTCAAGCGCGCCGTGCCTTCAGCGGTGAGCGAGTCGTCTCAGGTGTAACACTGAGACGCTAACCTGCTGACTCACACTAATGGCACCTGCAGCGTGACGGTAATGCCACCGCCCTGCTTTCGGCGACTGTGCACGGAGTGCCTGTGATGTGTGGTGACCGTGGATGGAGACAACAGACGCTACTGGCCCTGCGAGCACTCACGTTTGTCGTGTCGGCCGCCGCGGGGGTGCCGTTGAGCGCGGCCGAGTCGTGTGAGCCGGCCTCCTTCACCTCGGCGTCCGGGAGGCAGGCGCCCGAGCTCACCGTCTCCGGACGTGAGTCCTGCCGCCACAGAGCAGCAGGCGTCAGCGACCACACATCGGGCGTCAGCGACCACAGAGCAGGCGTCAGTGATCACAGAGCACAGGTCAGCGACTACAGAGCAGGCGTCAGCGACCACGGAAGAGGTGTCAGCGACTAAAGAGCAGGCGTCAGCGAGGCAGATCTCTGCTGATACATGTATCTACGCGTTTGACCGACGAGCAGGGGTCGGCATGTACTAGTTGATAGTTGTACCAGTTCAATACTGGTCATATAGGACATCGATCATTAAAAAGAACTGAGCTGTCATTCATTTCTACCGAACGACTCAAAAGGCAGCTAACAAGGAGAGCGCACTAAGCCAACAGTGGGGCTGGTTTACACCGCTTTCACAGTTCTCCTTCGCTGGACGAGAAGAGACCTCGGGCCGCTGCGTTGCCAAATGCTAACCATACTAGAGCTTAACAGGAAGCGGCATATGGGAACTCTCGTAAAGCAGAATGGGCTTGGTAGTATTCATGCAATGATTTATTCTTAAGATGGCATTGCAAGATCCTGTTCCAGCGAGAAAACCAGGTCAACGCCAGTGAGGTAAATTTTGCGGATTTACATCAGGTCTGTCCTAGGAACCATAGCTGTGAGTGGGCACTGTGTGACAGTGGTGAATGCGGGGCTAATTAGACATCGTTTAAATACTGTTATGTAGACATTGATGCGCTATACCATGTGATGATAACTCTCCACCGGCGGATAAGACCCAAAGCATGTTAAATCAGGTAAATGAGGGTCTAGTCATGCCCAATGCGCGCGATCCCTCTTCATATATGTCAATATCTAAGCAAAAGGTATTGAACACCATTTGTCAGGTTGAATCACATGTCTACCATTCAGTTCAAAATTACGTAAGTTAAGTGCATTTGTGAGGAATATCATTCACATACATAAAACAGCAGAAGTAGCCTTATTCCTCGCAGAAAAACCAGGAGGATGGAGATACGTTGGTATTTCGTCAACCTGCCTTTATCGAAAAAGTAGCAGAAGTCTGATAAAAATAAAGGTAAAGGCACCAATGCATCTGTAGCTCCATTCTTCTGGTTTTTCTCCGAAGAATAAGGCTATTACTACTGTGTTATCTATGTGAAACACATGTCTATTAATGCAGCCTAGGGGCTCACATTTTATGCAATCGCATCCTCATGTGTCATGATGATGTGGCAAATTATTACTGCACTGTGCCGTATATGTATAGCATACGACATTCCTCTGTGCACCTTTTGTTATATGTTTCTTTCGGTGCGTGGTAAATCTGAGCAACAGGGTAAATACAGTGCCTGGGATAACTAAAAAATGTAATAATCCTTAATGTCGTGCCCAAGCAGATTACGTATTGTTCTTTCACATGACTGCTCACCGCTTCATAAATTAAAAACAGAGCACCCATTCTCCACTGGCTGCGCATGTATAATCTAGCAGGCCCTCCTCACTCGGCGACGCTGTTAATCCACGTTTATAGTAAAAGTGGCGCCCAAAGCTCTACGCAGTCACTACCGCAAAGTGTTCTTCATCGCGATAATGAAGAGCTTGACTGTCCGCTGTGCGAGTGGTGCCATGGTTTCGTTCCGACGCCGTGAGGTCCGATGTGTCCACGCATCTGAACCAACGCGCGAGACTGACCGTGAACCAGCACTGGTGCACGCCCCCGAACATGTCACCAACGCTCCATCCCGCCACCGCACAGGGTGGGGATGGGGGGGGGGGGGGGCTCCAGCTGCCTCTGACAGTCTGGAGGAGGCTGCAGCTGCCGACAGCGCCGGCGTCGATCCCGCCCATTGGAGGAGGTGTTCCATTAGGGCGCGGCCGGCCGTGCGGTACGCGTTGGTCATTGTTCCCGAATCAATAAGCAATCTTGTCGAGCCGACAGTCACGTGCCACGCATCCATCGCATGCAAACCGCGCGCCTGTCCGGGCGGCGCGCCGACGCGCCCGAGGGATGGGCCGTGCAGCTGCGCCGGCCGGCCCCGGCGTCGACGGCACGCGGCCCGCCGGCGGACCACCGCTGCCGGCCTCTCCCAGGCCCGGCGGGACCCCGAGCCCTGGAGAGCCACGTCCACAGCACATGCCCGTCGCCTTTACGGTTATGTATTGACGGTGCATCCAGTGCAGGTGGAGCTAGAAGTCGACCGCAGATCTCCTCACATTCATTCAGGTGTATGTCGGAACGTTTGACGGAGGAACTCAACTCTGCCCATTAGCGCGTATGAGTTGTGGGGGCATGGGATTGCATTTATATCGGACTCGTACGATTTCGAGTCTGGAGATGTTTCTCACTGTTGTGCATATTGCTCTCCACAACACTGCGCCGTAATGTGGCGGGAGAATTACCGTGCAGCATTGCATCATCCGTCTCCCGGTCTGCCTGCTCCATCCCCGCACAGATATTTTGTGTCATGCAGCGACAAATACGCATCAATCCACCTCCAAATACCTAGATGCCAGCAGCTGACTGATCTCAAAAGCGTCCGTGGCTCTGGGAAGTCTTGCGGTCTCGCAGTTTATCTGCCGATGGCAGCACTTAAGGGACTCAGCAGTGTATCCACGGTAGCACCCTGGGTGCGCCCTCGGGTTCGTTGGCGTTTGGTTCCCACCCAAAGCCGTGGTCTATACCACTCCCTACTCCTTCTATCTTTGTTCACGACATGTCGTAACCCTTACTCAGCCTATATTACCATTTACTATTGATCATGGCCTTCATTGTTCCAAGGCTGTGACCCCTGTTTTCACCCCTGGCAGTGACTCCCTATATCACAGCAGGCTGTGACCGCTGTATGCCCCCCGGCTGTGACACCCTGAAATCGTCTGCGGCCGTGGCCTCCGGGTGACGGACGTTCCATAGATAGCGACCTGGCGGCGGACAGCCGGCCGACACACGGCCAGAGTCGACAGTGGCCGTTGGATCTGCGCTGTCGCCAGGCCTCTGAGGTCGTCCACGGCTGGACAGCCGACCGCAGCGGCTCCGGCGGCCGACACACAGTCAGGGTCGACAGCGGCCGCCGGCCGCCCGCTGTCGCCGAGCCTCTGAGGTCGTCCACGGTTGGACAGCCGACCGTGATAGCTCTGGAGGCCGACACACGATCAGGGTAGACAGCGGCTGCCGGCCGCCCGCTGTCGCCGGGCCTCTGATGTCGTCCACGGCCTCAGACCATGATGGCTGACCACCAGCCGGAGGCCGACACACGATCAGGGTTGACAGTGGCTGCCGGCCGCCCGCTGTCGCCGGGCCTCTGACGCCGACCACGTCCGACCACGGCTGGACAGCCGACCATGATGGCTCCGGCGGCCGGGCCGGGGCCAGCAAACCCAGCCGTAACTGGGCCGGTCAGCCGCACCCACCTCAGCCCGCCAGTGAAGGACCGCGTCAGGCCGGCCCGGCTGCCGCTGGCGCATGGCATGCTCGCCCACTCTGGCTCGACGTGGCGGAGTTCAGGGGTACAGCTTCGATACCTCCCGTGCTCCTGCCCACGCAAGATCGCTTAACGGCCCACTGACAGAATGCCAGCGGTGAGACAATGACCTGACATATAGAGCAAACAGGCGGAGATGACCACATCAGCAGGTGTAGAATGCACCGGCCTATTGAGGTACCTTCTAGGTTATGCCGTGACGTTATTGGAATAATGTGATGGCCAGATTCATGACTCACCTTGACGTGGTTTAAGAAAGCAAGTGGTAACGGGAAAAAATGTATTTCAATGACAGCCGTAATGGCCACGGCAACGCTTGTTTTATAAATAATCAAGTGGTTGTATAATTTACTTGAGACATCTCCGCTAATTTCAATAGGAAGTCCTGCGCGGAAGGCGTTTCTGGACCAATTACTCGCAAGTAAAACTAGAAATGTCGCGGGCATTGAGCATGGCTTTCGTAGTACGCAAACATTACCCAGCTCTAGAGCCTGCCAAGTTTTGCCTTTGAACGTGAGCCTTTTTCGCCCCCACTTTGTATGCAAATGGGCGTTTTAATAACGTTAGGAAATGTTGTGAATTCCATTTCAGAGCACTAGTCGCTAACTGTGGTCCATTACAACAGCTGAACAATCATTAAGCTAATGCATCGTGTTTCAGCAAAGGCACTGTACCAGACGAAAAATTAGCAGGGGTATCAATTATGCCTTATTTGGCTGCAGCATACATGTTTGTTCTGTACTGCACTGTGGCTGATGTTTTTAATTTGAGACCTAAAGTTCAGGTTTAATGTGAGCTTCCGTTTCCAGCTGATAGCCAGCCTGCGTCACGACCCACTCCTGCCCCAGGTCATTCTGCACATATCGGCCATTTACCCGTCACTGGGCCTCGACGCCGGCAGCTGCTCACCCAAAGCGGAGCTACTTTCTATTCACTGCAGAGAGCGTCAAGTCCACTCATTGGAAGTGCGATCCGGTGTGTTCTGGCCGTCGATCACCCAGTCCGTCCCGATCTCCGCCGTCCTGTCCATGGGGCCCACATTGATCACGTCTTTGGTCGGCCTCTCCAGCAGTCCACCTACGTTACCGCATTTCCGTCCCTCTCCTGCATCATAGCGGCGTTGTTACGCCTGCTGTGTCCACTGCTCCGTCACGCTCCACTCCAGCGGTCGCTTCGCTCTCTCCACCAGCTAGTGTTTCCGCCTGGTCCGTCCTCAGCGCCTCGTTGTACGCTGTGTTCTTTGTCTCTTCGTGCGCGCCGTCAGCCCTGTCCGTGGACTGCCCGGTGGCCGCCCTGCCGGCGCTCTCCCGCCCTCCCCGCCCAGTCCGACCGCAGTCCTGTTCGCCGCAGGCCGCGCCTCTTTAATTGGCGGAGATAGCGCGGACGCCGGCTGGCCGGCCCATAGCAGGGCTATCGACGAGCACCGCCGCCCCTGTCGCCACTGGGCCCCGACGAGCGCCGCCGCAGGACAAAGGAACGGCGCGCGCCGTGTGGTGGAGGTATGCCTCACCACCACCATATGGCCGCACGCCGTTTGCATTGCAATTCAGACGGCGTGAT